TACAGCAGGGGCAGTATTGGACCAATACAAGGCTCCATTGACTCCCATTATAAATAATTAAACATTAATATTTCAAAAACTATAAGTTTTACAGGCACCAAAAGTCATAGCCATCATTTGGCACAGGAGTTTTACAAATATAAATTACAATGGCAGCTCTAGGACAAAGTATGCAGGAGGAGAAGCGGGCCAAAGTGGAGATGACTTGGATGAGAAACGAATCACAATAGATAATGCAGAGTTATAGAGAAAAGCAGCAGCAGAGACACTTAATCAAATGATCTCAACAGTAAAGAGTTGAAAATAAATCACATAATTACTGATTTAATAAAACAATTTCTTTTATTGCCAACAGAAACTTTTGGAAGCCGTCAGTGACGTCAGAAGACGGTGGATTCCAGAGATTTTGCTTGGTTCTAAACATTTTTCATATGTTTTGAACAGAAACATTGATTTATTTGACAACCACTGAGCCGTTTTATTAAAACTCAGAAATCTAAATCCTCTTTAAATCCCTGAAATCCCCACCAGAAAGACGCCTAAAATCCAGCTTCATTTGTAAAAACTGAAATTATTTTATTTGTAATCTCTCTCAATCAACACATATAATTCTGTTTACGTCAGAATAAATCTTATTTATCTTGATAAAGAAATATTTGCTTGAGGAAAACATTCAGAGTCCTGAATTTAAAGATTAAAGACAGGAACAGAGACAGAAACAGAAAACACCTTCAGACAGAAACTTTAGGAAAACCAGCAGAATTTAAACTTGGATTCCTGCTTTAATGGTAACATGTTAAATTAATAAAGTATTTATATCATTTTATGCAGGCATGAGAAAAGGTTTGGAAATAAATGCCTTTTTTACAYGAAAAAAGAAGAAAAAAAGTTTAAACAAAGAAAAGCCAACCGGACTTCATAAAGTTGTTATTTGTCACACGATGGGTTTTTTCTCCTTTTTAATGATATCGTAGGTGTCAGTGGTGCGAGAAGTCAGACCCTGCAAGACACACACACACACAAAGACACACACATAAACACACATTAAAGCTGAAAAAAATAGCACCTCTCTATTTCCTGCAGCATGTCGAAATGTGTGGCAGCTGTTACAAAGATTTACAAAATAAATAAATAAATAAGTGATGTGCCGTCACTTTTCCCTTTTAAATTTATTATTTTTTTCCCTTTTCAGCTATTAAAAAGTAAAATCCTCACCGCGTAGATGCCTCCACCTGCAGGCTCCTTCTGTGGGACGGAAACAAACAGAAATCATCACGAATGCATCTGATTCCACTGAAAATTCTGCCCTTAAAGTTTGCAAAACATTTCATTTGTTAACCCTAAACTTATTTTTAAATGAAAAAGATTTAAAAAACGAGAACAGGAAGCTGAACTAAGCAGAACTTAAACAATGTGGGATGTGGTGGTCAGCTCGAGCTCTTCCAGGAAATGAGGCGTTTTTCAGCAGAACTGTGACGTTTGGGTGTCAGAAAACTGCTAAAATAAACTGACGCTTTTAAAAAAAGTTTTTTTTTTGTCAGATAAACACAGATGTGTGTTTTAAAATTTGCTTTACCTGAGGATAGCTGGTGCTCTCTGTGTTTGATGGACGCATCTGATAAAATGAAGCAAAAAAAAAGGATAAATATGCTGAAAAATGAGCTGAATTTTCAATATTTTTGAGAACCTTTGAAGCTATTTTKATACAAAAAGAAAAAAATGCACAAAAAATTAAAGAAGCAACAATTTGTGACAAAATAGGAGCTTTTTTTTTAGCAGTATTTCAAAGTAAAATCCTCTTTTTTGTGAAAATAAATAAAACTCAAATGAAAAATTTGTGACRAATCAGCGTTTCCGTGTTTTTTGGGGGGGGGGTCTTACCCTCAGTCTGCAGTACAAGGCGGTGAGAATGATGCCGTACAGGATGAGCACACCGTCCAGGACGTAACAAATGTTCATGTCTCCGGTGGCCCCTGCACACAGAACCCACCATCATCACCTCCGACAGAAACCGCCCGTTTTTTACCCCCGCGGCCCACTTCAACAGTGAAAAAAAGCGATGAATAAAAACAAACTCACCGGCAGAACGGATCAAAGCTCTGCTCTGTTGCTGTGTGCCGCCGAGGTGTCTCCAAACATCTGAGGAGGCGCAGCGAACAGGAAGTGGAAGGCTCTCTGTCCGTTCTGAAGCTAAAACCACACGCCCACATCTGCATCATCTCTTCACACAAGTTCCYCTAAAAAAAGCCTTTAAAGAAAAAAAAACTCCTTATGGGTGAAACGTCAGTGACRACACATTTTCACAGAAAAACTGAAACAGTCCTGAAGAAACCTAAATGCAGAGTTTTACAAGAATCAACTTCCTGCTTGGGGGAAACAGACTGAAAAGAGGTCAGCAAGGTTTATAAAAAAAAAGATGTTTGTGATGAAAAACTCCCGAGAATTTGGATGATTTTAAGGGTTTTGTTTACCTTGAGTGCAGACCTGCAAAACAATCCAGGMATTATTTTCATGTTTTGCAGTGAGTGCCCTTTAACAGCTTTCAAAATTATAAAATACGCAACAAAAAAGAAGAATCATAAGGAATAAATGGTTTAATAATAGAAAACACACTATACAAGCTACCGTTACAAAAAGGAGGAACACAAATTACGAATTTTCTTTACAAGCCGCTCGCTTTGTTTTAATCTTTAGGTACAAACATTCAGAGAAACTGCAGCATCATAACTTAGGCACCGTAAAAAGATAGAAAAATGGTTGATGAGCTTAAAAATAGCTGTGCATTGAAAAAATGTGTTTTTTTTTTAAATGATAGCTTTTATTTGTTTTGTTAAAAGGCAAACCGACCCACAGGCGTGAGGGGGCGGGGTTTAAACCTGCAGAACAAGGCTCGACTCAGCCGGCAGCGCAAGGCGAAGGCGGTGATCAGCTGCACAGAAAAGTTACAATCAAACGTCYGGTTGTTCCTGAAACAGGAAGACGTCGTAAAGCAGAGCAGCTGGATCAGGACACGCTTCCTCCTCCTCCTCCAGAAGCATTTCTGTCCTGCACTGAGTGACCACGTCACAGGTTTCCTCACACAAGTTTGTTTAAAATCATCAATCAAGGCCTCACTTCATGGTTTTAAATCGTAATTACAACTTTCTGCACGTTTCTTAAAAGTAAAAAAAAAAACTGGTCCAAACRTCAGATTCCATGATTATAAAACTTAATTTCTGACCCACAAAATGATCGCAAACCGTTTAATCCGCAGTTTAAAAAACATAAACTTTGCTTTTAAATTAGTTTGAATAACGACACAAACATCCTGAACAACCGCAGCCCTATTTTTTTTATCCTTATTAATAATAAAAATTTAAAAAACAGCACATTTCTGCAGCTTATCCGAGGACCAATTTGGTGTTTTTGTGACCCACGGCGGGGCCACACGCCCCCAATTTAGACCCCTACGTCCGCCAAACCTCTAAAGTCCAATTCAACTGGTAAAATGTTCCACTTGTTTACGGTTTGACGTTTAAAGTCCCGCCCCGCGACTGAAGGTGCTGCCGTGCGAAGACGTTTCGTGGTTTTGACTCAGTAAACATGAGCTAATCTTTTCATTTAATCACTCCTCTCAGTTCCGCCTGTCGCCTGAAAACCAGCTTAAAATAACTTCTCGGTGAAGAAGTCACCGAAAAACCAGGAGGAAGTGTTGAAATTCACAGGTTGTTCATGAGTCTATAAACACTTTATAAGGAATGAATCATTTGGATAAGAATCAATACGTTGAGCTCGTYTCGGCTTGTTACKCAGAAATTAAAAACTATTTGATAASTTCAAATGATTTGATAACTTTCTGATCCATGTTTTATCCTTCAAACTCTATAAAAAATCAGGTTCAGTGTTTTTAACAGATAAGCTTTAAACTTATGAATAATCTAGTTAAAACTTTAATTTTAAAAAAAGGGGGCGGGGCCTTTTTAGGACGTTGTMCAACTTATTTTTTCAGCATCTTTGTTGCATTTTTGCAGAAGTTGCTTGAAACAACAGAGACTCAGGTGACACCTGAACGCCTCAAACAAACTGTGTTTACATTAGAGGACCTGTCAGCTGACTGCTTTTTATTTTCACATCATCCCACCCGAACACTGAACAGTTCATTTGACCAGTTTTTAAAAAACCGATTTAGCCGAATTTTAAAAGGAAACACAATTCAGTTTATTTTGGTCAAATACTTTCCTCTCTGAGCTCACCTTCAACACATAGCTTCAGGACCCACTCACGTTTGAGTAATGTTGCTAAAAACTACATAAAATGACAGCACCGTTTTAGGCTGCAGCTATAAATGGATTTAGCTGGTTTATCTGACTGGATCTGAAAATGACACCAGGCTTATATTAAAATATCTTTATCCAAATAAGATACAAATGAAGCAGGAAATGTTAAACTGACACTAGTAGTAAAAAATAAAATTATAAAAGCTGCTTGTTTAAAAACCATTTTGAGCCCGGAGTAGCAAAAATTCCGCAAAATAAAAATAAAAAATTAGGAATGTACATCCATTCTTCTTAAAAAAGTCACATTAAAAAAGAGACTCACAGCACTTAATGCTACATTCTGCAAGTTTCAAAATAAAAGCCTCCGCCTGCTTGTTGGAGCTTTGGTCCTCTGTTTACAGAACACCAGAGAGGAAGTGATGTAATCTCCACTTCCTCTCATGTTCCAGCCTTGAGTCAGCACAGAAATGTAGTTCAGTGGTTACAGCGAAACCGGGGGCAAACATGAAAAAAAAAAAGCCCCCTTTTAGTTCAAAAACTGGATTTTTACACTCGCAGGAGGAGAAGTGAAAGCGTTGGTTTGTTTCCAGAAAACAACAACAAAAAAGGCTCCTTTTGATTGGTTCCTCCGTTAAAAACAGAGGAGGGCTGATTTGGACGACGGTCAAGTGTCCCGTCACGTCCAGCAGAGGCGGGGGGTGTTAGTCCGTCCGTCTTCACACCGAGGTCTCCGACTGGAGCCTCATGACGAACTTGTGGCTCTTCGGGTCGATGAACTCCTCCCCGAGCCGCAGGAAGGGCAGCGGCGTCACCGTGACCACCAGGGAGAAGTCCAGGCGCCGCAGGGAGAAGACCAGACCCTGACGCAGGGCCGAGGTCACGGGCTCCTCGCTCACCAGAGTCCACTGGCGCCCTCTGCCGGACTGCTGCTGGTACTGCAGGGTCGGGCCGGGGGCCAGGTACCGCTCCAGGAAGGCCTGTGGAGGACGGAGGGGGGA